GTCTCAGTGCGACTGTTGATGTCAGTGCGACTGTTGGCGTCAGTGTCACTGACCTGATTCTACTTCTTTGTTGACTCCAACCAGATCATGTGACCACACACATTCACACCTCCGGTCAGTTCCGAGTGAACATCAACAACCTAATCCTGCTGTGAACTGTAGGCGGTGTGAAGAATTTACTATTGTGAATTCACACTCGACAGAGAAATATATCGTGAGTAAGGTACTCACAAAACACAAAAACCAGCATCTGTGTGTGTTCCTGGTACGGCTATGATGAAGTTTGGTTTAAAGTCAGGTCAGATTAGAGTCAGTGTCAGGATTAAGATTAGGAATATACTGTGACGGTGATGATGAGGGTGAGGAGCTGGAGAAGACGTGTTGTTATTGTGTGTGTGTGTGTAGAACAGATGGGCAGTGGACGATGCCAGAGGAGATGATGACGTCCTCTGAGGCCCAGAGCCAGATTACACTCACACACACTCACAGTAAACACACATTCACATTGAAGAGTTTTATTTAGTCATTGTTTTGTTTTCTTCCGTCTTCTACAGATTGTGTTTGTTCCTTTGAAATCAGGGGAAAAGGCCTTTGTTTGAAGAGTCTGTCATGGCCGACTCCCAGATCACACATCAGGCCCTCGGAGGACCTGAAGGAAAGCATCTGCACAAACATCGACTGCTTTCACAGTCACTGCTGCGGCTTCACTCCTCCTGCCAGCAGGCGGACTCTGGCTTCCTCTGGAATGACGGGGACTCCTGCAGTAGGGCGTGAGGTGACGGATGACATTCAGTTGTCACGGCAACAGAAGCAGAAGGTAATTCTTCAGAGGGGCAACCCATCGTGTGGTCAGGAAAAGTTAAAAAACAAATGAAAACATCTGATACAGATCATAAACACTCGTAAATATATATATACATATACAGTATGTATGTATCTGTATATGGACACATGCTTATATTTATACACGCAGATATGTGTACAAACTGTATATACATATACACATGTTTTTTATATATATTTTACATATATTTTATAGGTATTTTATATATATTTTACATATATTTTATATGTATGTTATATATATTTTACATATATTTTTATATATATTTTTACATTTATACTTTATATGTATTTTACATATATTTTACATGTATTTTATGTATGTGTGTGGACAAGCATTCACCAAGCTCGACGCTGTGTGCTTGTAACACAGATATACGATGATGATTTAGAAAAGGAAATCGTGGCTGCAGCTTTACAGCGCTGTATTTATTGTTCTTGGCTGAAATCTAATGTCGACTTAATATGATTGGATTCAAACTGCGGTTTGGTTCCGAAGCGTTTCATGCGTTCCCCGGAGAACAAAGTAAATGTGATTTAATGGCAGTGATTTATCACATTTGCCTCATTTCCTATATTTAAACAGTCGGGACATAAACAAGACGTCAACAGAGGAGGATCAATACATTTCTGAAGTCTGACGAATACTTTGTGCGCAGCCACGATGGCAGTTGGAACATCAGCCCCCCCGAGTGGTATAAAGACTAATCTTGGGATTTTTTTTTTTTTTTTTTTTTTATTGAACCAGACGAACGTAGAAACTCACACAGTGTAAACCCTCACTTGATTCCCCTTTAACTGCAAATTAAAGTTTTGTAGCTTTTTCCGTCTGATTTTACGGGAAACATCTGGATCTCGCGCCCCGCTGGAGCGGCGGCCCCCGGGTGGTTCAGCGCTGCTCAGCTGTGAGGGCCTGGGATAATGAGCAGGTATCAAACAGACCGGTCCAGATAGAGGGGCCGCCCTCCGCAGTCTGAGACCCCGGTGCCCAGAACGTCACAGTCGGGTTCTGGAACACCTTTGATGAGAACGGTTCTGTGACTGTGACGGACGTTGTCATTAGAATAACATTTGACTTTTTATAGATTACAACGTTGTCCTGTTTCTCTTTAACTGCCCTATAGATCAGCGGTTCCCAAAGTGGGGGGCGGGCCCCCCTCCAGGGTAAAAAGGCATGGTGCCAATTTAGAATTTTTTTTTTTTAATTTTTGCCACACTCGGAAAACGGCAACGAGGTGTAATTTTATTTCCTTCGTTTAACGAGAATAGCAGCTTTGTAGGAATAACAGCCGAGTATTAAAGCAACAAGTGCAAATATTTTCGGGAGGGGTCATTCTGACCTCTATTATTCTTATTTTAAACCAGGCTATACATCACAGTTATGATAAATAATTCAAAAACAACTAATTGTTCAGTTATAAGTTCACGATCACAGTTCTGCTCATTAATTATCTGTTTGAATTAAACATGTGGAGGACAAAGGGTTAAATTCTCTTTGTGACTGTTGTTTGTTTTCCTGTGTTGTCGTCAGGGCCACACTCTGACTCTGGACCAGAGGTTCTGGTTCTGGTTCTGACAAACACTCCTGTCAATCATCTGAAACAGAAGACTCACGGCTGCTGGAGAACTTCACATCAACATGTGGGACGTGGACCGACAGTGGACGACCTGGTCCTGGTGATGACATCACACTCCGTCTCCACTGCAGCTCCTCTCTCACTCCGTGTGGATCAGTGGATCACATCAGACCACGACTTTGATCCGAACGCAGTGAGTGAGAAAAAGAATTCCCATCCTGTCTTTTAAAATTTTTGTTTTTCTTCTTCATCCTTATCTGTGCCCACTGGGGGCGCCCTGCTCCTTTATGAGCCTGAAGGTCGTTTGAAATGATTAGTCGTTATTCCAGCAGACAAGCATTTATAAGACTCCGTCTGAAACTGGCTCCAGTTCCTTCCACTGGTTAATGAGGCTGTGTTTTTATGGAGGGCTTTTTTTAAGACGACTTTTTTTTTTTTTCCATAATGAGAAAAAAAAAAGAAGGAAAAAGTCGTGGGATGAAGGAGTGTCGAGCCAAACTAGAGTGACCACAACAACAACAAATAATAATAATAATAATGATAAATATATATATATGAATATTTATGCCATGAACTGGTGGAGTATCTGGGGACAACCCTCACCCAAAGTCCTCACCCAACCTCCCCCACACGTCCACCCCCGTCTTCCACATTATCCTTATTATTTGGTAGAAGATGAGGTAATTAAATTAATGAATTATAATAATAATACTTATAATAATAGAACATATAATAAAATTGTTCAAAAATATTTTTAATAAATAAGCAAAAAAAATTACAAAAAATTTTTTTTTTTACAAAGGACGGAGTTTTTTTTTTTTTTTTGAGTTTTGACAGAGAAAGTTGCAGAAATAAATCCATGCAGGAATGACTCTAAAATTGCATTGGTCCTTTTCACAGGGTACAGGCGCTCTTACAGGTCTATGTACAAAAGGCATTTATTTATATCATTTCATTTATTATTTATATATAAAATATATATATATTTATATTTTTTTAATTCAATTTGGTTTAAAGTCTTTGGCAACAAAAGAAAAAGAAACAAATCTGTCTGCTGACACGCTGGGTCTCAGCTCCTTCACACCTTTGACCACTTCACCTTCTGTCCCTCTCCCCCACCGTCCCCCACCGTCCCCCATCGTCCCCCGGACCGTCTCATTAGTCCAGGCTGCAGCCACAGACGGTCGTGTGTCGTTCTCTCTGAGGTCCACGTTTCTTCAACACCTTTGGTCTTCATTCATCTGAGCAGTAAACAGTCTGAGGACGGAGAGAAGAAGGTGGACATTAGAGTGTGTTTAGGTAACACACACACACACATATATACACACACATATATACACACATATATATACATATACAGTAAATATGCTGCTTCACGTCCCCACAGTGACTGATGTATTTGTCCAGTAAATTTTGTGAAAAATCTTTTTTTTTTTTTATCTCCTTTTCATTTCAGGTGCATTTCTTTTTCCTACAAACCAAAATTTAAATAATCACAACAAAATTATTACTTTTAAATTATATAATTACTTTTAATTACTCTATTTTTTTAATGCTAAACATTTGGTAACATATATATATAAAATATATAAAGTCGTGTTCAGACTTAAGTCACTGACAAATTAATTTTAAACTTGCTGATGTTCAAGGTTGTGAAACAAAGAAAATTAAACCTGTGCATGAAAAAAAAAAAAAATTTTATTTCCTGTTGTACTGAGAACATTAAATTAATTAAATACCACATCGTCTTTAATTGATAAAAAAAACGTTAAAAAATAATAATAATATTTAACCAGCAACAGAAACTCAGTAATAAAGTAATAAAGAGTTCAACTGTGTCCAACTTTGTGTTTTAGATTTAAATCGATGACTTCACTTCAACTAAATGATCTGGATCTCTGAGGTCCAGGTCGGATGCTGCCCACGGTCTGGTCCACCTCAGCCCTGCAGCCCATCTCTGCCCCAGCCTCAGCCTCAGCCTCAGCCCCAGCCTCAGCCTCAGCCTCAGCTGCCTGGGGTTTTATGGCCCTGCACTGACGTGAACTCCCAGAACCAGCCTCGCTGCCCATTCCTGTGGTCTGGACCGGAAAGCTTCTCTGTTGTGGATGTAAATTATCCGTGGTGGCGCAGCAGCTGCGTTTTGATGCGGCCAGGTACAGACTGTTGTTGTTGTTGTTTGTTCCTTCAACCACCGCGTCATAAAACATCAAGGAAGTTTAGGATTAAAAAAAATAAAATAAATAAATCAGGGATTTTTCTTTTCTCCTAAAAAATAAGGCAGAAAATCCCACCGTCTGTAGATCAACATTCTTTATCATTTGTTTATTTTTTATATTTAATTTTTATCACTAATGTTGTTAATATTATTTATTTTGGGGGGGAGACCTGGTTTTTAAACCCGTCGTCCACCGGTGCAGATGCTGCGCGGCCCCGTGTGAATTTTGACACTTTCTCTGTTTTTAGTCTGTTTTTTCTTTTCTGGAACAAAGGCCGAGATTTTCAACTGAGAAACGGCCAAAAAAACACGAGCACGAGAGGGAAGTGAGTCAGAGCCAAAGTACCCAGAAAGGCGCCAGAAAGTGTGCGTAAAATCCTGGAGGAACCCCGGTAATCTACTCTGGATTCAAATCTTAGATTTTTTTTTTTTTAATTATGATATTGTGAACCTCAGTGTCCAGCTCTAACCCTGCTTAGATCGGTGCTGCTGCTGCTGCTGTGCTGCTGCTGCTGTACCCACCGCTTTGGCATCAGTGAGTGGGGGTCTCCCGGTGCTAGTGGGACGCAGACATCGACCAGGCTCCCTCCATCCTCCACACGGAGAAGGCGTAGCTGAGTCTTTCGTGCGCGACGTAGCTGCAGCTGGACATCTTGCTGTCCATCTCGTCGCTCTGCAGCACCTGACACAGGAAGTCGATGTACCTGGAGGCCAGCTTCAGAGTCTGTATCTTACTCAGTTTGTCCGACGGCAGCGTGGGGATGATTTTGCGCAGAGACGCGAAGGCCTCGTTCAGGGACTGGGTCCGCTGTCTCTCCCGGACGTTGGCCAGGACGCGCTGGTTCTGCAGCTCCTCGTAGGACTGGCTGCTGCTCGGACTGGGTTTCTTGCCTCTCTTCCCGGGGCCTGGGCTCCCGCCGCTGCCTCCGCCGCCGCCGCTGCTGCTGCTGCTGCTGCTGCTGTCCTCCGCGGACTTCTTATTGAGCCTCCTCTTCCTGGGGAAGCGCTTCTGCTGCCTCTCCAGCTCCTCCTCGCTGGCCCCCAGACTATCCACGGGGGACACCGGGGAACTGGAGCCCTCTTCCATTTCTTTCTTTAAGAAATG